GAGTTTTTCTTAAATACCGGCCGGTTGGTCCAATTTTCTCTGGGCAAATAAGCTAAAGCGTCCAATTGTTCGTCGGGGAGTTGATTTGGAACACACGGTGTGTTTGCCCTACTCGACACTACGCTGGTAGCTAGGTAGTTTGGCGGCCCTGCCCTGTTGTTTTGCAGGAACTGGCCGAGAAACCATGGATGTCAGAGGAATGTGGATAAGTCGCAGCATTCAAAAACATGCTACGACAAACCACTATGGACTCAATACAGTTACAGAATATGGAGTGATGCTATTGGTGATTATCATTTACTTAAAGATTAATATAGTTACTGAATTTGAATATATAATTTTAATAAAATGTTGTCTCTAACTAATATGCTATGATATGTGAACAAGACCCCCTGACCTTCTCCCTTAAACTTTTGACAAACAACCAAGTCTGAAGCGTGTAAACTTGAATGACATGTATAATGACACAAGGTTAATTAAAGGCTAAAGAAAGAAAAGAAGTCAAAATTAGCATCATGATTTATGTTTTATGGACAAGGTCACACCAATTTAATTTGTTGTTTCTCAAATTTTTTCTGAAAAAATCAGGAGCGACAGGGCGGCAAAAAAACAGGCCAAGGCACCCCATGATAGCCAGAAATGTTAGAATATAAGCAATTAAGTGAATATACATGTACCAGGCTGGTTTATAATTAAAACAATAGATTTTGGACTTTTAATGAAACAAAATTGCATTGTTACATTTAAAAACGTTAGAACTAGGAAGAAAAGGACTTTTTTTCAACCGTTGGGGCCAAAATTTGTCTTTTATTGAGCATTTTGCAGTTAATTTAGAACCAAAAAAAAACATTTTTTTTGCAAATCAGAAAAAAATGTACAGGTCGATCCGAGAAGCAACAAATTACATTAGTGTGGCCTAAAGCCTCAAAGTAAAATGATTTCAAACCTTCATTAAATTTTGCTTTAAAGTAAAAATCTGTGTCTCAGGCACAAGTGATCCTGTTACTTAAACAGGTAGCATTTCCTGGTCATTAGGATTTAGGGAACAATTAAAGAAATAAATAACATATTAACACAAAAACTTCCTCTTTATTTTATTTTATTTTATCTTATTTTATTTTTCACTGGTGATTTTTCTCATCTGCTAGATGATCGTGTCACAAAAAAAGTACTATGACTTAAAAAAAAAACCTTTTCTTTAACAGATGACTACCTGAGTACTTAGAATTTCAAGCCCTAACATAAAATACAGTGTTGGCAAATGATTGTGACAAAATAATATTCTTCATGATATTACACTGGAGATAATATTTTTGTTCATAAGCATTATATGAACGTATAATAGGGTCAGTACAAAACAATGTATGACCTCTAAGTGACCCCCTGACCCTCTGGTAGCCCAGTCAGCCCTCTGTCTTATCTCACTACAAACAAACTCTGATGACAAATAAGATAATTTCCTAGAGTAAAGGAACACAGCTTCTCCTCAGCACCTAATTAAAACTCATCACTGTTATCATCACAGGAAGAGCCTGCCCCCGGCCGAATACCAGGCCCTGTTTGTTAGAAACTTTGTATTTCAATCAAAAAGAGAACCTCCTTAAATGGGGGCCCGCAAGCCCTTTTCCGTAGAGCGTAATCGCCCGTTTTAATTCTACGTAGAGCGTACTAGACGGACCTCTCTATTCAACGTAGAGCGTGATTGGCGCATTTTGCGTAGATCGTATTCGCCATTTTAATTCTACGTAATGCGTTGTAGCCACTTGGAATTTATCCTAAAGCGTAATCAAGAGGTTTCCGAATTCAGCGTAGAGCGTTGTCGGGACCCCCCCCCCTTTGCAGGCCCTCCATCAATAAAATGACAACATGCAATTTCAAATTGTTCCTTTATGCAATGTATAACCAATTACATATTGCAGAAATACAGAAATAATATTTGCTAAGAAATTTAAGCTAGTGTCTGTATTTGGCCACCTGTTGAATGCCCGATACTTAAATTCTGCTAAGGCCATGTTAATTTGATTATATGGATGACGTCCGTGTGCGCATGAATTTCCATCCATCCCCCCCCCAAAAAAAAGTTTTTGACCATACTGTAAATTGTAGGAAATGTGCAAATATATGTCGTTCAGTGTATGTTGCAAAAAAGTATTGAAAAACGATACTAATGTCATAGAAAGCTGGTATCAATTCAGGAAAAGAAGAAAATGTGACGAAATGAAAATGAAGAGTTTATTATTATTCTCCATACCATACTCTGTGTGTTGCCTGTTTAGTCATTTGTTCAACCTTTATGACCATGTAAATTTCATAATGAAGGAAACCTTTTTTTGCCACAAACTTTTTTCTCATTCGCACGTTGGCGTCAGTTTTGGGGTTCCCAGAAGATGTCATCCATATTTTAATCAAATCAACATGGCCTAAACAGTAACACAGACACATGGAAGACAACCTCCGCAAATTCAACAAAATACTCTCCTATGCATGACCACACCTTGAAAATCGCTTATTCAGCATTGAGAAGAGTTGATGTGTTAAATATAAACAAAATCCTGACAGTCTGAACTATTTTTTATCTCTTTTTTTCTGTCACCATTACAGTTTTGATTTCTTGAATCATACTGTCATTATGTTTTTGTTTGAGTTCTTCATTTTAGCCCCCCCCCCCCATCAATCAAACCAACCAAAGTTTTTAATAGTGTTAACTAAGAAGTCTTTACATGGCAAATGAACTCTCCAAGTGTCAATGTATTATGTTGAAATGTCAGGTTATTTGCACATGCCAGCAGCCATGTTTGACTCAGCCCAGATGTACATGTACAGCCAAGTCCTTGACATTTTGATTGACAGGTCTAGGGCTATTCTAATTGGTCGGTGACACCTGTTAGCATTAGGCAAAGTTTTTAACACTGTTTTTCTCACTTCTGGAAAGCTACATTCAAAGGGAATATTATTGGAAAGCTTAAAAGGAAATGTTACAAACTTTAAATTAAGAAAAGTATTACAGGCATCCAATCACGATGGTCAGATTTGGGCCCAAAAGTCCCACTCCGCTACTATGGAGATCGAATCCCCCGAACCCGCGAATCTTGTTCGATATGACGTCATTCGAATAGAGCGGGCGTTCGATCTGGGGTTACCCGCGGTCATTTACAGTAAAGCCGCTACAACCGGCTACTTCAAGCCATTTTTTACTTGGGAACCACGGAACAGGAAAAATCCACCTTTCCACAAATATGAACCGTTTTCAAAACATTATATCTATGCCGTGATTTTATTGTGGATATGTAACATGTAACGAAGCTACTGCCGTCATCGTGGGTGACCTTGAAGGTCAGAATTCTTGTTGACGCTGTTATAAAATCCAGGTCCCCATATCCAAGTGTCATAGCACGCGTACAAACAGGGTATTTTAACCATTCCCAAAAATCGCTCAAATTACCTTATTGAGGTCTTGTTTGGAAGAGGAACGATTTCCGCAGATTTCTGTCTTAGGGATTTTTTAAATATGGCCGCGATTATGAATTATCGGTATTTAAAAGTTAAAACACTGCGTTTTTAGCTCTTCTTTTGACTGTAAGTCGAGTTTTAGTTAAAAAATAAAAAAATCCTAAGACAGAAAGTTAAAATTTACTGTAATATTTCTAAAAATCCAAAAATCTAACCTTATTTTTAATTTTCGGGGCCTCTTAAAATCAGTTGTTTGGTTCTCGTGAACCCTTTTTGAAATCCGAAATTGATCTCATTTGGAAGTAAATGTACACAAAGTGGAGCAAAGGCAGTGCAAGAATAACATTTGAGGTAAACAAAATCACTTATTACATTTTATTTTGACGAGTATTTACTCTCCAATTACTTTTGTTTATTTTCAAATTTTACCCGTTGCCCCCGGGCCGGCCTGGGACTCCCGCGCGGCCACGTTCGAACACGTTCTGTAACCCGATACCTCCCTAGTAATGCGACTTTTAGCCTAGCAACCGACCGCCGTGAATGCGATTTGAGGGCAGCAAAACTGGAAATATTCTGAATAAGGCAATCTTTGTGATATTGACACATAGTGCTTCAGAGTAGCACATTTGATGATTCACATTTAAATTCTATTTTTTGGGTAACCTCAAAATCAGCCCAGGGCCCTTTCAGTTAACCATTTTCCATCAGAAATTTTGGAATGCTCAATGAGGGTCAATATACACTGGGATAGTGTGGATAGTATGTAGATAATTTTATTAAGACTAGTAAGAATATTCAAGAATTGGGTTTCCAAGCCCTAAAAACTGCACTGGGCACCTTTAAATATACAAGGAGCCTCATAGCCTTTTCGGAAGTTCACAAAACTGAGGGCATTTTGGGGATTGGGAATTGTATGTTCCCTGCAAAACATAGCTGTCTTTATAATTTAATTATTAAAAAAAATGTATGACTCAGATCGATATTTGCTAGTGGTTGCATGGTTCTGTCATAAGCTGCTTGAAAATTCTGTGGCACCAAATTTGTAATCATGACATACAAGCAAGGCTAGTAATTTTTATTTTCTAGGTACCTAGGCCACACAAATTCAATTTCTTGGTTCTCAGGTTGGTTCTCAGATTCACCTGCTTCGTTATTTTCCAAGTTGCAAAAAAAAAAGCATTTCAGGCTCTAAATCAACTCCAAAATCCTCAGATTTTAGCCCCGACAGTTGAAAAAAGTCCCTTCTCTTTAGAATTGTCAAAGTTTTTTTTTCATGTATGAATGCAGTGGTTTGAGTTTATCTTTAAGTCTTTTCCAATAACATTTTTGCAATCATATCATCCTTGCATCTTGTCATCAAGAAATGTTACTTCATCAAAAAAAGGAGTTAACTTTGAGTTCTTTAATTTTCAAAAATCAGTCTGAAGCAAATGTTGACCGTAATTTCTAACAAAACAGGAAAACAAATTTTTGACCAACTTTTGCTACCTCATAATTTGGTCTAAACTATTTACTAAATCAAGCATTCAATTTTATCTTTTCTGCACTAGGGAGGATCCATGGAAGGCAGCCAAGATCATCAAGTCCTACATGCAGCAACACAACATCCCCCAGCGGGAGGTGGTGGACGCAACCGGTCTGAACCAGAGCCACCTGTCACAGCACCTCAACAAGGGCACTCCCATGAAGAACCAGAAGAGGGCGCTGCTGTACAGCTGGTTTGACAGGAAACAGAGAGAGGTTCAACAACGTGAGTTTGTAATACTGTAAGGCAGCACGTCGGTAGAACGTACTGCGCCTTCGCATGCGCAGAACCCCGTATTTTCATGTTTTTCGTTGGGTTTTTGGTCAACGTTGCATTAGGATTTTGCCTGTTGCAGAGGATATTCTTTCCAACATAACATTTGGAAACTACTGCCGAAATGCTAACCTTATATGAGCGAATACAACCTTATATGAGACATTCTGCCGAACTACTATGTACAATACGTTACGGGTTTTGCGCAGGTGCAGTACGTTCTGCCAACGTGCTCTGTAAGGCCACCCCAATTTAATTTGTTGTTTCTCAGATTTTTTCAGAAAAAATATGAAGCGACAGGGCGAAAAAAAACAGGCCAAGGCACCCCATGATAGCCGGAAATGTTAAAATATGAGCCATGAAGTGAACAGACCAGGCTGGTTTATATAATTCAAACAATAGATTTTAAACTTGTAATAAAACAAAATTGCATTGTTACACTGGAAAACTTTAAACTAGGAAGAAAAGGACTTTCTTCAACCGTTGGGGCTTTTATTGAGCATTTTGCAGTTGATTTAGGAGGAAAAAATTTTTTTTTTTTTTGCAAATCGGAAAAAAGGGACAGGGCGAATCCGAGAAACAACAAATTAAATTGGTGCGGCCTAACATTGCGAAGCAAATATTTTGAAAGTTTGAAAATATCATGTTACATTTATGGATGAAACACTTCAAAACACTTAATTACCTCCATGAAAAATGGAGGTATTGTTTTTGGCGTGTCTGTCTGTATGTCTGTCTGTATGTCTGTCTGTGTTTCCGAAACTTTGTAGTCAGCATAACTTAAGAACGCCTTTATGGATTGTGATGATATTTGGTATGATGGTAAGTCTTGGAAAGACAAAGGTCAAGGTCAAGTATGGGCCTCCTGGTGGATGACCTTGGTACTGCAGCAGAACTTCCGGTTTTTGTATCTTTTGTCCTGAACAAGCTATGGTCTTGACTTTTTGGTGACAGATAGCTTTACCTGTCAGGAATAAGTGGCATAAGTTTGGTCCCCCTAGCAGCTTGTTCTGGAACTGCAGGTTAGTTTCTGGTAAAAACTTTCAAAGCCAATAAGTCCAGATTGGAACAACGTATTTTCATCATTTTTGGTGTGTAGTTGAGAGACAGTTGTACATGGTTAAATGCAAATTATGCAAATGAGGACTTAATTTGCATAATTAATGAGGAAGTTCTATAATTACAGTGTTTCATATAATGGTACTGCTATACATGTAATGTATTTAATCTGTGGCAGGCGGAACATCAACAGATACCAATTATGCAAATGGTGACCTAATTTGCATAATTAATGTAAATATTTTGTGACTCCTTATTGGTGAATGATGGGAATTTTATACCTCGTGACATGTATAAGTTACCTAAAGGTTAGCACCACTATTCATATATTATGTTAATGTCGAGGTTCTTTGCATAATTAATGAGGACATGTTGAAATGAACTATGACAATGCAAGCCCATATTTCATGGAGGTATGAGATCTCGGAACTCTTGTTTTGAACTTGTCTTTTTCTTGTTGACTTGATAAGATATTTAGTGTTTTAAACCTTGAATATTGTTCTTATGAAATAAAAAATGTAAAGATAAATAATCAGTAAATCATAAAAGCCTTAAGTTATGCCTAGTATAAGCAATTGTACAATATAAAATTGAGTGATTAAGAGAGTAAAAGGAAATCATCTTGAATATTGAATGAAAAAGGTGCATGATATAACCTAGTAGACAATTTAATGGATAGCTTTTAGATGATACCAATCATGCTGTCTCTTCCGATTGTCTTTCTTTGAGGGGCTGATATCACAATGCTTTCCACAATGATGGTCTCAAAATCGAAATAATATTCTAGTCCTATCATTGACTATCTTTTTTTCTTCAAAATTTTGGTCCAGTTTGGTTACTCATGGGCTAGAAGGGACAGGAAGAATTTAAAACTTTGAACTTAGACCAAATTCAATCTGTGGGTGTAGTGACAGATCTGAGTGATAAGGTCTTGCATGGGCAGAGAGGATTATAAAATACACGATAAATTGTGATCAAAAGTAGGGTATGTTTACTGTTGTCAGCTGAGTTCCTCAAATTTAGAGCTGGTCAACTCCATTTTCTCTGTATATTTGGGAGGCTACTTTCTGGTGCAGAAGAATTTTTGACAGTCATTTAAATCTGGAAATGTTCCTTATAAAATGAGACCTTGTTTGAAGGTATTTATCTACAGCCTTCAATGGTCAAATGTGATGACATTGTGGTATCTGTTCTGAAGTACAGTAACATGACATTTCTCCCTTTCCTTTGTAACAGATCACATCTATTCCATATATCATCAATACAGGGCTCAAAATACTGGGTGCATGTGCACCTTAGTGCACCCAAATTTGGAGCTGTGCATGCAATTCTTTTCTGTGGATGCACTGGTGCACCCAAATATTTTTGTAGATTTTTTTTTTACATATCAAATCTATAATTATAGTATACAGGATATTACTAACATCTGTGTCCATAATATCACCATAGTCCATAATATCGCCACCTTGAGAAAAAGTGTGCTTAAAGATATTTTTACTGCAACATACCCTAGGTATGTACATTTGATGTGTGAAGGAGTGCATACCAAAAGTATCTTGCAGTAAAAATATCTTAAAGCACACTGTTTCTCAAGGTGGCAATATCATGGACCCTTGTGATATTATGGACATGGATGTTAAGTGTCAGAAAAATAATAAAATCTTTTTTTACAGTAGTACTTGTTAAGATTTTTAAATTAGCTCCCAGTAAGATCTGTCAGTAATTACATGTAAGTTTTGTTTTATATGGTGCACCCAAAAAATTTTGTGCACCCAATGTTTTTGGTTGGGTGCACCAGTGCACCTATTCCGCAAAATGAATTTCGAGCCCTGATCAGTATCATCAATAACATATTAATCCCTCCTTCTGCTAGAGTCAATTCCGCGTCACCGTGTGGGTTGCTATTGTCATGAAATGTTTAGAATTCTTTGTAATTGTTTGTGTAAGAAATTTCATAATTTGGAAATATTTTGAATATCTTTTCAACATTCTAAATAAAGAGTCAGATTATCACCTACTTTTATGGGGGCATTTACCCACATCTACCATTTGGTTATTTGTTTGTATAAAATGTATTTCTAAATATTTTGAAAAGTGAAAGAAACACTTACTAAATTTGTTCTAAATAAAGAGATCTTTGTACAGCCACTTTCAAAATGTTTCAGAAATATCCAAATGAATTCAAATATATTCAAATTTTTGTTTTCAAATTTTTTTAACATTTAGAACTTTTATTTTATTTTCTTCTAAATAATTCAAAAGTCTTACAAACATGGAGAAAAAACCCACACGGTGACGCGGAATGAACTCTATCCTTCTGTTCATGATCAAACAAACACAAATCCCTGACTGATTAACACGATGTGTTTCTAACACCTGAATGAAGATTTCTATGCTGTAGAATTTGCTGGGACGACTGGGCTGGATCTGGATGATGGTTATGACTACGGACCAGACAGTAAGCGAGCCAGGAGAAACCGGTTTAAGTGGGGACCGGCTTCACAGAGGATACTGTACGATGCTTACCAGAGACAACGTAACCCTAGTAAGGAGGAGAGAGAGGCACTAGTGGAGGAATGTAACAGGTATATGTTTGTTTGTTTGTTTATTGCACATAAGGCCACACCAATTGATAATCAATTTTGGAGCAAATTTGGGGTAAGTCCCAATTCTATATGTAGTGTTGGAAGTTGAAGTTCAGTCTTTATTTCATAATGATGATTAATTATCTGTTGGTTCTCGGATTTTTTCAGAAAAATATGAAGCGACAGGGCGAATAAAAATAAAGACAGGTTTAGGCTTCCTATTATAGCCCTAAATGCAATGATAGGAGCCATGAAGTCAACACAAAAGGCTTGGTTGATATTTAAACAATGAATTTTGAACTTTTATTAAGAGTCTTAAACCACTGCATTGATGAACAAAAAAACTCTAACAAGTAGGAAGAAAGGGACTTTCACCATCTTTTATGGGAAAAATATGAGCATTTTTGAATTGAGTCAGAACCAGAATCTTTTTTGGGGGGGAATCGGAAAAAAAAGAGGCAAATCCAAGAACCAACAAATTAAATTGGTGTGGCCTAGATTATCAAATGTGCCTTCAGGTGTAACACTGCAGTTTCAAACACTTAAAGTTACTACAATTTACCTCAGACGAGACTACTTATTCTTTAAAAGATTTTAAAGGCATTTTGCTGGGTGTGATGGGGTCACAACACTGCACTGAACCCTCTTATATAGTAAGGAAATCAAGGATGTGACCAATCAGTGCTGTTATAATTGCAGAGCTGAATGCCTGCAGAGAGGAGTGTCTCCCAGCCAGGCTAGTGGTCTGGGTTCTAACCTGGTGACAGAAGTAAGAGTCTACAACTGGTTTGCCAACCGGAGGAAAGAGGAGGCCTTTAGACACAAGCTGGCCATGGACGCATACCAACAGCAGCAGCTGCCACAACAGCCGCAGCAGCAGCAGGCGCCTCCGCAGCCGCAGCAGCAGCAGCTGCAACAACAGCTGCAGCAGAGTCAGGTGCAGCAACAGCAGCAGCAACATCAACTCCCACATCAACAACAGCCGCATCAGGTGCCGGCAAGTCTAAAAGGTGAATGGACAGTTATTATTAATAAGTACATGACATAACAATACATGTTTAAAGTTAAAACTTTAGATCAAAAAAAATTCTCTTACCTAGAGCTTTCCACCAGTCACTCTAGTCTTCCTCAGTAGACTGACCCAGTGAAGCTTATCACGTGGCTTCTTTGAAGTGTTACGTCAAAACTGGGTCAAAGGTATCCAAATTTCTACTGCGGAAGACCAGAGTGACTGGTTGAAAGCTCTAGGTGAGACAACTTTTTTTATGTTGGCTCTAAAGTTACTTTTAACTTTAAACATGTAAGTACCAACACAGATAAACTTTTATGATGACATAACAATACATGTACTTCTTTTTGAAACCGGAGGAAAATGCCATTAGAATTCTTGAAGATTTTGTGGAAAAAGTTTTTTTTTATCTCTTCATTAGTGGTGACACATTCCCTACATAAGCCCCAAAGCATACATTCTTTAACAATGTTACTAGTAACTACAAAAATCCCTACATACTATTAGTCTAAGAACATACTAGTAGTACTAAGTATGTTGTAATAGTATGTAGGGATTTTTGTAGTTCAGGTTAAAGAAAACAAGTTGATTGTCTAGTTAGGTAAAGGATTGTAGTGCTTTTTCTAACAGCAGGTAACATCTGTGTCCATAATATCACCAGGGTCCATAATATCACCACCTTGAGAAATAGTGTGCTTAAAGATATTTTTGACGATATTATGGATCCTGGTGATATTATGGACACAGATGTCAATGCAAATACAGCTTTATTTTTCAACAATCACACCTGATAACCACTGCTATCATCCAATTGAATGTGTGTTGGGTTCTTTTACAATTGCAGGGGTTTAGATCTTTAGGTTATCCCATATACAGAACCATATGATTAATATCCCCTCCAAAGAATAACCAATTCAGCACCAAGGACAGTATCAGTTTTGAAGCCTTCAGAACCAAAAATGATGTTTTTAACAGTTTTGATGATATGAATGATTGTGTATGATATGAATATGATCAATATTGTTGGAGTGTTTAGGCCACACCAATTTAATTTGTTGTTTCTTGGATATTTTTAGAAAAAATATGAAGTGACAGGGCGAAAAAAAAACAGGCCAAGGCAGTCCCCATGATAGCCGGAAATATTACGATATGAGCCATGACGTCAACATACCAGGCTGGTTTATACAATAGATTTGAACTTTTAATGAAACAAAGTTCCTTAACAACTAGGAAGACAAGGACTTTCTTCAACCATTGGGGCCAAAATATGTCAGTCATTGAGCATTTTGCAGTTGAGTTATATATATAGAACCAAAAAAAATGGACAGGGCAAATCAAGGAAACAACAAATTAAATTGGTATGGCCTTATCTTACTTTGATTTTAAACAGTTGTCTTTTGTTGTTGTTGCTTGAGGCTAATTAATTGCCAAGTCTTACCAAGTGGAGCTTTTACTGTAAATTATACATTATTTCAGCTTATAATGGCTGCTACTGTATGTTTTGTATGATTTGTACTTGCATTTTGTATTAAAAATGAATAAACCATTCCTACAGAAGCAGTGTACCAGGCAGCTAACCAGTCCCAGCAGCCTCCAGTACAGTCAGGACTGGCCAGTTCAGCTGCCACACCCACTCACCACACATCTGTTGTCATGGTACCAGGTGAGATATGCACCTAGGCTTAAAATGATAATACCCTAATTGTCACTGTCACTGTGATAATACTGTCATAGTGATAATGCCCCTCATAGTGATAATATCCTCAGTGATAATATCCTCAGTGATAATACCCTCATTGTGATAATACCCCTCATAGTGATAACACCCTCATACATTTACTACAATGTTTGTTATAGTAACTGATAAGACCCTCATAGTGATAATATCCTCAGTGATAATACCCTCATTGTGATAATACCCCTCATAGTGATAACACCCTCATACTACAATGTATGTTATAGTGACTGATAAGACCCTCATAGTGATAATATCCTCAGTGATAATACCCTCGTAGTGATAACACCCTCATAGTGATAAATACCTCATACTGTAATAAAATATTATGATAATCCACCTTATACTCAGTCTGATAATAACCTGCATACTGATAATACCCCTTATACTACATTATATAATAGTGATATGCCCCTCATACTAATAATGCCCTTCTTACTACTTATGCCCTGCATGCTGATAATGCTCATGCTGCGATGATAACCCATCTTGTACAGATAAAGACCCACATACTGATTTTATACTAATAATGCTCCTTACACTAATAATAAATTCCTACACACTGAAAATACCTCTTATACTTAGCCCTTTATAGTACAGTGATAATTTTCATAGTAGCAATATTTCCCTCATTCTAATACTATCATCAAAGTTCATCTGTGTTGGTAGTTACATGTTTAAAGTTAAAACTTTTGGTCCAACACAAAAAAGAGCTTTCGACCAGTCACTCTGGTCTTCCTCAGTAGACTGACCCAGTGAAGCTTGTCACGTGGCTTCTTTGAAGTGTGACGTCAACACTGGGTGTGAGGGGTGAAGGAAGCCATATACATCAGGGTCCATCACCCTATATTGAACCGCGACGGGGGCCGTCATCTTCTACAAGATACCTTTGACCCAGTGTTGACGTCACACTTCAAAGAAGCCATGTGACAAGCTTCACTGGGTCAGTCTACTGAGGAAGACCAGAGTGACTGGTCGAAAGCTCTAGGTGAGAGAATTTTTTGTGTTGGACCAAAACTAACTTTAAACACTTCCCTCATTCTAATTAGTAGCCCATGTACCTGTTTTGATTTTAACCCCTCAGGCACCATGCCGTCCAGTGGACTGCATCGCACTCAGGGGACGACCACACTAGCAAACATGGATACAGGAGAGTTACAGGTCAGACATGGACATATTTCAAGATTTTTTTTGGGGGGGGGGCAAAATTTACTTCTCTTAGAGTTAGTAGGAATGGGCCTTCAAATCTTACGTCTATACACACTGTATATTAGATAAGAACAGTGATCATATAGAATCATTTTATCATTTTCTGTGTTAAGAAATCCCACAAAAACACTACATGTAGTTCCTTTTCTTCTTCATTTTTGAAATCTGTAATAGAAACATAAGTCATTTAGGGAAATCCACCATGACCAAACAAAATGCATTGTGCAAAAGCTCAACTTTGTAAATTGGTTAATTTGTACATGTATATTAACTATGATTAATCCACGGTGTGCACGCATCCCTTAGTACAAGAGTTGACTTTTGGTTCTCACAGAATGTTTGCGAAAAAAAAGAAACGTCAAGCATGCTCAGCAAGATTAATCAAAAGTCTTTCTTCTTCAACATTATCATAACATCAATTTGAAACATCATAATAATATGTACTAACAATTTCCTGTGTTTCCCTGTTCCATTCTGCTGTAGACGTTGCCTCCTGTCAGTTCGCTGACCCCTATTCACCACAATGGTAGCCCCCGCCACTCCCAGACTCCCGAGCCCTCCTCACAACCCTCGCACTCCCAGAATCCTCAGCAGCACACACCCCTGCCTGGAGTCCTGTCATTTGCACAAAGTGAGTATCATTAAAGCAATATGATGTAAGATTTTTGCGCCAAAACTGTAAATATAAATAATTCAAAATTTCTCATCAGTGTCATTTTCAGAAACTTTCAACGTATTTAGCGTTACCATTTTGCTTTTCTGGCGACTCAGAGCAGCATAAGAATAAGTTTCCAGCAGCCCAACTGTATTTGGAGGCTCCTAAAAAGAATATAAAAATACAGAGGTTTTCGTGCAAGTATCCTTAGTAGCTTCCAACATTGGCAGGCAGAATAACAGGTGAAAAGGTCAGACACAAGAAACAGAATGACCTTGAAGGTCCACAAATACAAAAAATACTTCCAAGAAGTCTAAACTCTTGTTACTTGGAAAAGGCAAGCCATTGCTGTGTTTTAAATTTGCAGTTTAAAAAACAACTGTAATTGTGGATGGTAACCATTCAAGAAAGACATGTTTGCATCGACATATATTCATGGAAAAGAAGTTGATGCAAAAAAAAAAAAAACAATCACAAAAGTTGAGAGATAAAAAGTTTAAGCTAAAAGAAATCATTTTTCCTTTCTCAGGTTTAAGTACGACACCACAAGGTCACGTGATCCTACAAAACGTTCCGACCAATCAGCTCCTTCATCACGGCATCTACAGTCAGCTGGCTGCACAGCAGGCCGCCATGTCAGGTCGAAGGTCACCACCGCCGAGAACCCTGACCAGACAGGAGTTCATGCAGGCCGTGGCTGAGCTGCAGAACCAATGTGAGACAGTTCAGATCATGAGATACAATTTGTAGGGCCTAGGCCACACCGATAGACCCATTGGACTTTCACGGATCGCATGAACTGCTTACGTCACAGGGAGCACATTTCAAATAGAAACTACGTCACAGGGGGGACATATCGAAAGATCCTTTCATGAGATGCATAAACTGCATACGTCACAGAACAAAATAACCTTAAATTGTTGTACGGAATGCCACCATACAAAGTTGGTGCCTGTTTTCCGCATATATTACCGAGAAAATAGACACTTACCTCAATGAGTACCTTTTAGTAAAAAAAATGATCTGCCGGGGGGGGGGGGCACCAGCAGAGCAAGCCAGTTCTAATCAGCGTTCTAGAACAATGTTCTTTCAAAATGTCCCCCCTGTGACGTAAGCAGCTTATGCGATCCGTGAAAGTCGAATGGGTCTATTCAATTTCTTGGTTTACGGATTCGCCCACTTCATTTTTCTGATTTGCAAGAAAAAAAATTCAGAATCAACTGCAAAATGCTCATATTTTGCCCTGAACAGTTGAAAACAGTCCTTTTCTTTCTAGTTGTTACAGTTCATCTTTCAAATTGAATGCAATGGTATCATTAAAAGTTCAAAATTCATTGTAACAGTTTAAATTTTGAACCGGTCTGGTGTGTTGACTTCATGGCTCTTATCGTACCATTTTGGGCCATAATAGGATGCCTAAGCCTGTTTTTATTGTCTTTCTTTTTTCGACAATTATGGCAAAAATACATGCATGCCTTTTGGGGCCTGCTATGATATGAAGGCTAAATGAACATTTAGAACAATTCAGTGTATTTAGCTTTGGACACAAATCATAATACCCTTTTTTCTTTTAAGTGGATTTACATTCATTCCATACTCACAAGCTTTTTGCTGCATTTGTAAATTGGCACTGTGGGTATGTACTGAGTTCTTGAGTCGTGGAGCTTCGGTAGACTGGGTGCCGTCCTCCAGAGTTACCACTGGCTCCGTATGGTTGCTAACTACCATGGACTACCAGGCCAGAGCCCTTTTTTTTTGGAGAACAGGCGAAAATCAATGCGTGTGCAGATGTCATTCAAATTAAGTCGGTGTGGCCTTATGTAGTACATGAAAGGGAAAATAAAAACTATGATGTCTTCCTTCACAGCGATGGGTTACCACCAGAAGTCGGACCAGTCCTCCAACCAGCAGCACCTGACACTACAGCAGCACCTGCAGACCAGAGTACCCTACAGCGCGCACGTCTCCATGGCAACAGTCACCGAGAACCGCGACACCAACCACCTGCAGACCAGCCGCACCAACGAGAACGAGCTGCTGCAGCAGGGCGCCACGGTGCGGGTGCAGGTGCCGAATAACACAGGTGAGCACCTGTTGCCATGACTACAGAGCACCTGGTCACTAAGAAAGAGCAGCTGTAAGGATGCCAGTGACAGAATACTAAAGGAAAATTGCAATTGGTTAATTGGTTTGTTAGTAATGTTTACCTAAGTAAAACGATATGGTTCAGTTTCTTTTCTCCAAACACAAAAGGTCAATGACCTCGGCCAGACAGTCTATCACTTGTAACTAGCATTGGTACATTATGTTGCAATTCTATAGCAGGAGGGATTTAGACTCTTGTCTGACCATATATATGAATGTGTTTGAGCAAGAATTAACAGAGCAGATTATGCGAAGGTAAACATTATGCATCCGCTTTGCAAGTGTTACCTTAAGTTTCTAGTTGATTTTATATGCCTAGCATCTGTTATTCTGTCATCAGATTTTTATTACATATCAATGATACACAGCAGCAGAAAAAACACTGTAAAGGATGTGCGATGTTAGGGATGGTATGTTCAGCACCAAGGACAGCACAGTTAAAAAATTTTCAGTTTCAGTCTGAAAGAAATGCCATAACAAAATCACCAGGAAAAATTTCAAGATTGAAATAAATTTGATTGATATTTACAACATACATTCATTTACAATGTATTCAATGACATATAGAAAAAAAGTTAGGACTATCTACCCCCCCCTATAATCTTTTATGTAACATAACCCCCAAAGGTACAATGCCATGGATGGTATGTTCAGCACCAAGGACAGCACGATTTGAAAATTCAAGTTTAAACTTGTACTGAAGAGGTCACTGAGAAAATTTAAAAATAAATCCACCAGGAATATTTCAGGATTTACAATAAACTTCATTATATAAGATACATTCATTTACTCATTTGTGTTCAGAAATTAGGACTACTATTAGTGGTTTACCTAATGTGACCCTTACATGTACATGTTTAAAATTGAGCATAGTCCCGTGATCATACAATACTAAGCTGTGAACCAAAAAGACATGGTGTCAAAAGGGAGCCACCTAAGAGGAATTTCCATAGGTGTGTGTGCTATAGCAGACACCATGTGGTGTTGTGTTACATTATGTAGCAGGACAGAGTTGGAGGGGCTGCTCACAATATATTGTACATGTGCTAGTATGAATGTATTGGTAAGAATAAACAGAGCAGTAGTTTCAATTTCTTAGGCTAGACCATGTAAAAGTAAACACTCAGCGTGCAAAATACCTGGTTGCCCAAATTTTACTTGGGGCAACCTATTTTTGAACCTACTTAAGTAGGTAGCCCAGTATGCTACCTGAATTTTAAGAATGCCCCCCCCCCCCAAAATCATGCCCACTTGGCTTGCACTACTGTATCTGGCAGATGCTTTTTAATGTTAGGTATTAATGGCTATTACTAGTATCAGTTAACTAAAGGCTCTTAGAAATACATGACTGTATTGTCAAAGGCTTATGTATGTAACATTACTTAATTTGAGGAAAGTAGTTGGGGCAACCTAAAATTCTGATGGGCAACCTAATTTTTGCCTGGGCAACCTGATTCAAAAAAGTATTTTGTACACTGAATATTGACATGTGTAATTTTGCAAATGTTATACCTACTGGTAAGGCTTTCTACATTGTAGTATAATTATCTGATTTTAATATTTGAATACTCTGCAGGTATGGTGATCTATGAACATCAGGGCAGTCAGACAGTGGCAGCAGAGGAGACAGTCATGTCCACTAGTGAAGACCCCATGGACAGTTATAATGTTGCACAGGAAGTTCATGTATCCACATCCAACATGTGAGGCCACTACAGTCTGCTTCTTCTCCTTTCTTTTCATTTGAAGTGTGTTGTTTCATCCGTACAATTATTTCATCAGGTTGGTAAATAAAATCATAGCAAAGTTTGGGTTTTTTTTTTCAATTAGGCCACATCAATTTAATTTGTTGTTTCTCGGATTCGCCCTGTCCATTTTTTTTATTAATTTTGCAAAAAAAAAATTTTGGGGGTTCTAAATCACCTGCAAATTGCTCAATGAAAGACATATTTTGGCCCAAAAGGTTGATGAAAGTCTTTTTCTTCCTAGTTGTTTAAGTTTTTTAATGTAACAATTAAATTTTGTTGCATTAAAAGTTCAAAGACTATTGTTTTAATCATAAACAACCCTTGGTATGTTCACTTCATGGCTCATATTGTAACATTTCCGGCTATCATGGGGTGCCTTGGACTGTTTTTTTTTTTTTTTCGCCCTGTCGCTTCATATTCTTTCCTGAAAAATCCGAGAAGCAACAAATTAAATTAGTGAGGCCTTACAATCACTTGTTTAACAAGAAGAGATGTTACATTCAATTTGACTGTCTGTCATTTTCATCAGGACAGTCATTAACTGTCATTAAGAACTTTCATCGAAATGCCTGCTCTTGTTTAACAAGTGGTTGTGAAATTATCAATAAAGAACATGTATTTCAGTTTATACTAGGATTATTAAGATCAATCCCCATTTGTTAACCTTCTCCTTACTGAAGAGCCCTATTCAATTTGATTACAGCAATAGGCAGCAGGAAGAAGGTTAAATTTCCATTCAAAGTAATAGGTACATAAAAAAATTGTAAGAAAAATGTTACTTTCAGTCTTGATTTTAAGTTAACTTTTAAAAATTATTGGTAAGTAAACAGGTTCTATTTGGGCTTTTTTTTCTCAGCTCACATGTAAAACAACTTCATAAAACTGGCTATAATCTACTTTTGGAAGTAAATGTATTTTCATTTTCTTATTGTAGACCGTTTCTCTTTTTATTTGTAACTCGTTGCATTTTGTGTCCTGACAATCATATATACTAATTTTAGCTATGAAACCTTCTGTCATACTTTTAAGGTGATATAATATATATTATATGCCATTTTGCATGAAATTGTTGCAATGTTAAAATGATTCAGGGATTGTGGCTGAATATACAAATGATTTTTGTAAATAGAAACTTCAGATGATTCTATATTACATATAACCATTATCCAAAATAATTCAATCAAAACTGATAAAGTTATCTATTAGTAGTGTAAAATTACAGTTTATTTTGTACAATGTAGTATTTTACCTAGATGTCTATGATGTTGTAATTGTGTTAAAAAACTTGAAAAAAGTTTGGACATTTTGAATTTAGAGCAAATTGTCTGATCTGGAGGTAGTTCATGCAATGCACATGACTATAAAAATACTAAAAGCAGAAAGAAGTCCTGAAATCATGCTCCTACTTTAGAAACTAGTACATGTATGTGCTGTGTAGAAATTTCTGTGCATTGTTTTATCTGCAAATATATAGTTCTGACTTTTCTAGGTTCCACCAACCAAAGACCTTGTAACTTAAACGCTAGGTTTAGACAACCATGACATAGATATTTACTTTAACTTGTTGTGCAAGAACAAAGCTCTAATCTGGAATTCTGATATGAGATTTTGAAATGTACAGATTTATATATAATTAAGTGATTCACTGGTGCTAAACATATTATTATCACAATGCCATAATTTTGCAATGCAGGTGTCCAAAACTTGAGATTAATATGTTTTCAGTATGGGAAATTGCATTAGTCTAGATTGTTCCCAATTGGTCAAGTTCTTTTTTTAGAGATAATTAGATTAATCATGCTTTTTAGCAAGAAGAAACAAAGAAACATCGATGTGGTGAAATTATCTCAACTTGGGAACTTTTTAGCAATGGAAATAGGCTTTATTTGAGTTATCCCAAGTATGCAAATTTAGGTTGTCTTGATTATGCAAATAAAGATAAAGTTGCAGTTTTGCATATGACTTATGAGAAAGATCCTCCCCATCCCTAAGAATAGTGTTAGCAGGAAAACTCATACCAGCAAGCACTTTTATTTGGCAGCATGTAACAAGCTCCGCTTAAAAGATCCATCCTATTGCTACTTTTAATAATGGCTCAGATTTCCATACATGTTTTTATTGCATGAACAAAAAAATTCTGACATAAAGAAAAGAAATGATGCGGTCACCTGCGGAAGATAGCAGCTACATGTAACAGGCTTTGCATTGCAGTGTATTGTGAATGTGGAGTATAGGGTAACTTTTTGTGTGGTAGCTCATACATGTGTATACTGGCTCTTTTGTGAATTGTACTAAATGATATCCAATAAGAAAAGAGTCTGATCATGATATATAACTTGTTTGACATTAATTATGTCTTTGTGTGGCTCATAATAGCCAAGCAAATGCCACTGTGTATATCTAAAAAGGACACTTGCAGTTGCACACATGTAGGCAATACAGCATTCACCAGTTTCCCATCCCCAGATTTCCAAATGCCCCAACACCTCAAAACACAGTAAAAAGCAAGCTGTTTAATGTCAACAGGATCATTCCGACGCCTTCCAGTCCTATGCAAATGAGGGTTACCCCCCCTATTTTCGCATTGCATTCTGGGGATGGGAAACTGGTGAATATATTGTCGGCCATCTTGGATGGTTAAACCAGGAGTGAGTCACACAAAGACACAACTGATGCAAAATCTCTTATTTCTCAAGTTAAAATCAAACCAAAGAAAACCTCAATTAAACTGTAATTGCAATGATATTTTATTGATTGTTGTCTCTAAACAAATATAAATATTATATATTGATGGATGAAAAAAATCATCTCTATTTTCATAATTTTCTGTTTGCAACATGTGGAAAATAAAGTTTCAATCTTAGAAACATTTGTCTATGTCGTCCTTGTTCTTTCAATAATGCTGATTTAGGCACAAAATTAGAAAAAAAATATGGGACAATTTGAAAGAAGAGATAGACATAGAATTCTATCTTCAATTAGAAAGAAGAAAGGTCCAAAATTAACACCTAATATTTTTTCCTGGACCAAACATTGTTTAAAACATGAGTGACAAAACACATAAATTGACAGCTGGTACACTCAGTGCATTCAAAGCTGTGCTGATTGGCTTATCCTATAAGACCAAACTAAGACAATGAATGCTGATTGGCTGTCTCACAAGAGTGCCCAGCTCTACTTAAAAGCTAACAACCAATGGGAGGATGATTGGATGATCTAAACAATGCAATCTGAGATCTCAAAGCTGATTGGCTAACTCACTAGTGCACCTGGACCTGCTTAGAAACTAACAGCCAATGGGAGAAGAGTATAGTAAGTTCAGCTTGACTCTCTGACATCTGATGATTTTCTAAAAAAAATGTAATTTGAAACCTTCCATTTTGCAACTCTCCTTTGACAAGTAACATCAAATTCGATTAGAATTAAACTATGAGTACAAAATGTATGACATACAACAAACTCTTTCCCCTTTTTTCCTTGGAAAAAATTATAAAAACCATGACGATTGTATAACAATCCAATACCCTTTATTATTTTCAAGTAGGTCACATTTAACTATTATCTAAAATCTTTTTCCTTTTCTTCTTCTCCTTAAGATGTTTCTCTGACAAAAGAGAATGTGCTGCTACTTTACTTCCTTCTTTACCGCATCCATTTTCTTGTCTTTTTTTAATTTGGCACGGAGTCAACTTTTCAGCAGACAAATCCTTGCTTTTTAGTTTTGACTTCTTTTTCTTTCTTGATCTTTGCTCAGAGTCATTTACGTTATCAACTGATCTACCGGTGTCTTCTGTCCTTTGAACGGATTCCTCTTTTCGTTTCCTCTCCTTTTTCTTTTTCTTGGGTACTGCCTGGTTAGAAGGGTTGTTGCTGACAGTGTTAGTACTATTTGATGCTACCTTTTCTTGTGTGGAAGCTGGATCACTGCAGGTGCGTCCAGGTGTGTTTGCCACCTGGAGGGGTGCAGAAGCCTGCAGTATGGCCTGATGGGTAACCGCCGCCTCTGCTAGTCTGACCTTCTCTTCTTCTGAGTCACTATAGTAGAAGAAAATCAGCAAAAGGAACACATTTTTACTTTGGGTAGGTGTACTATACGAGTATGTACACATAAATCTTTATCAAGTTTAGTAATCTATGCAGTTATCTTTAGTATATCATAGATGAACTAAATATTGTAATATACCTTACTGTTTGATTGAATACTTAAAAAACTGTCATCCTCCTCACACCAAATGACACTTTGATGTTTTAAATTTTATGAAAAAGAGATATTGGATCAATGTTAATTGATTCTAACTAGGAAAATTTTAAGGTCTTTTCAGTTCTTTTTAAACACCATGCCTATGAGAGCAGTGTGGCCAAACACAGGACTGCCTACAAATTAGTTTCTAGTTAAAACTAGAAACTAATTCCTGTGCTTAAAATATCTTGCACTCAATCATAATACTAGTTTATAACATATACAAATATAGGTTTGACCTCTAAGGCCACACCAATTCAATTTCTTGGTTAACGGATTTTTCTAGAAAAATAATGGAGTGGTCGGGCGAAAAAAATAAAAATAAAATCAGGCCTAGGCATCCTATTGTGGCCCAAACTGGTACGATAGGAGCCATGAAGTCAACACACCAGGCTGGTTCAAAATTTAAACAGTGAATTTTGAACTTTTAATGATACCACTGCATTGAAAGATGGAATAACTGTAACAACTAGGAAGAAAAGGAAGTTGTTTTCAACTGTTCAGGGCAAAATATGAGCATTTAGCAGTTCATTCTGAATTTTTTTTTATTTTTTGGAAATCAGAAAAAAATGAAGCAGGCAAATCAGTTAAGCAAGAAATTAAATTGGTGTGGCCTAAATGTCTAATTAAAAGCTGAACTTTTTACAAAACACCTGTGTGAGATCTGACCTGTCTCCAGAGGAACTGTCCACCTGTTTTCTCCTCCTGACCTGTGGACTGACTCCAGTCAGGTTTACTTCTGTACCAGGATCAGAGCTGGAGAATATCCTAAAACCTGCACAGAGAAGGACCTATGTTTGTAATGATGGTTCTTTATTATAAATCGTATTATGTAGCAGAGTGTTATAACATCAAATATATCAGCCGATAGAAGCAATAATGATATAGCAGTGTTCGAAATACCTGTCTGCAGTCTGCAATCTGCAGGTAGATTTTCAACAATGCAGAAGAAAAATTTATACAATCTGCAATTTTGCAGCAGGAAAAATTGGCACTTGGGATTAGGTGCTCTTGGCCCCAAGGACAGACAACACTTAAGCTCTTGTTCTGAAACAACAGGAGCTTCTTCACTAATTTACATCAACCTTGTCTTGACTTGTTTATCTTTTGTTTCCTTTTGGACTTCCAAAAATTTGTCTTCACTAATTTGCATATCAATCAATAGTTCATGCTTATAAACTTGCAACATTGTAGTATAGAGTCTTGTGCATTTGCAGACAGTATTTCCAAATTGCAGAACAAAATTTTGAGTCTTCTGCAATATTGCAGAGCACTGAAAAAAAGTATTTCGACCACTGTATAGATAGCATTTTTACGAAGTAGGAAAATAAAAAGTTCAAAACTCTACAATATAGACACTTTGTACCATGATCTACTATCTGAGCTAAGCTGGGTCACGGGAATAGGAGAGTTTCCCGTGCGGGAACTGTGCCACGGAGGGGGAGAGATTCCCGCTTATGGGAATCTCTCCACCTAGCAGTGCCGAGTCCCGCACGGGAACTTCACCACTCAGGGCTGCCACGGAGGTTGAGAATTTCCCACAATACGGGAATCTCTCCACCTATAGAAAGACTAAGTCCCGTACGGGAACTTCACCACTCAGGGCTGACCGTGCGCGCGCGTGTTTTGGGGCCGATATACGGACGGGAATGTCACCATATTACACGAACGGGAATTGGACCATTTTAGTCGACATTTCGCGTACGGGAAATTCACCAGCAGTGACAAATAATGTCCGTCCGCGGACGCCCTACGGCAACTTCACGGCCGATATACAGACGGGAACTTCTCCACACAAACGGGAATTGGACCATTTTGGTCGACATTTGTCGCACGGGAAATTCACCAGTTGTACTACAGGTGCAACCAATTTTTGATTGAACCATGGGCGATAGGCCACCGAGTTTTTGTTGAGATCGTTGTTACTTTATTTAAATATATACTTAGGTAACTGAACAACAAGTTCACTGTGCACTCCGTACAAGATTCCCGAGAATCATACACTGAACACAAACACCGTAAACACGGTCCGTACAAGATTCCCGAGAATCATACACTGAACACAAACACCGTAAACACGGTCCGTTGAAAGAGTCCCGAGAATCA